CTCTATACAAAAAAAGAGTACAATTTCTTCCCAGAAAGAGATGCAGAATAAATCCCAAACTGCAAATAGTTCTTGAAAACCATATGCTATTCAAGGACCTTCTCTCTGCTGGGAGAAAATGGTTAAATTACTCCTTCTTGACAATGTGAATGACATTTAGGAACATTAACATTTGTACTTCTCACAAACTATAGGGCTGGAAAAACTCCCCATGTCTCCTATGAGTAGTTATGGCAATGCAGAATGTAATAAGCAAGAATCGTGACAACAGTCACAGCTGATGGGTGTGTTTTTCACCTTTCAGCATTATCAGAAATATATACCTTTCCCTTTCCCTTTCCCTTTCCCTTTCCCTTTCCCTATCAGTTTGTGTTCCCAAAACCTCGGGTAGTAAGATGTTGTTGACTTCACAACTCTTATCAGCCATGATTCTGATTATATGGCCAGCTCATGGTGAAGATCATGATTAAGATCCTACTTTATGCTTGTGTAGGGTAAATCAACATTAATGTACCTGGTGGTTGCTTTACACTTCTGCTTAATAGTAATGCTGTTTAACCAATTGCATATCTGCCACTGCACCTGCTCATTTTTCCATTGTAACCTGGAAGTATGAACAGTGGCTGTTTATGTAGTGCCAGAAAATAAAATTGTAGATTTATAGTATTGATAAATGCACCATCCATAAATGCATGGTTGAATTGTTGCAATCCTTTGGGTTAGTCTCAACTAGAATAGATAAATTCAATTATTCATTGAATGATGAATCAATGCATGGCATAAAATAAAGGATTTGAAGGTTCTGCTCTAGCCAAGATTAACAGGCCCATGATGCAACCATAAATGGAATATGTCCATTGCACAATAACCAAAAAGGCACAATCACATGTGTAAGGGAACTTGTACATTTGTACCAAAGTTGTTATCAAAAGGATCTCAGCTCATATGGAGAGGATATCATTATGGTGAAGACATATGTTTATAGGAGGAAATCTATTGGTTCTTTAGAAGGCAACAACAAAAGCATTTTATAAAGAGATAGGAGGAGTATGTGAGTGCAATCATGTTGCTATAAAGACAGCAGTTATTTATTTGTGAGTGTTGAGAATTCAGTTCCAGGTAACCTCTCCTTCTCACCTGACATATACAGTGGTGGGAAGAAAGCATGTGCAAATCCATTCTGTGCAAATCACATCCTTAGCCAGGAAGCTAACATGGGGAAATCTATGAATATATCTCTATCTTCATGGATATCAAATGATTTCTGCTTACCCAATAAGGCTGCAGTGAATTCCAATGGGATGAAAAATGCTATAAGAATGTTCGCCCTTAAGTGTTATGAATGGCTAACTGATCTAGTTATTCATAAAACCATTAACTGGAAAAAAAAGTTGAGCTCCATTTTTGACTTGGAATATGTCATCTATCTAATTAGTGACATTAACCAAATGTTTCAGTGTAGGACATAAAAGTAATTACAAAATGTGGAGGTAGGAAATCACTCAGCAGTATAGTAAAATAAGTGATATTGATTCATTGGGCATTTGAATAATAGGATTAATCATGCCGGGCATGTCTGGGATTATAAATTGTAATGAAATATGGAATTGTGTATCAAAGATGTCAGATTCACAGGCTTACAAGTTCTCTAGTTCCAGTCCAGATATGGACCAACTGTTAAGAATTAAAGGCTTTCCATCATAGAAGAGGATATCCTGACCCAAAGATTGCCCTTTGCTCTTGACCCACATTTTATATTCCAGGGCAAAATCATCCATTACAGTTGTGACTGGAAAGTACCTCAAAAAGCAAAACTATTGTGATGGATGCAGTCATTTTCTCAGCCATTTCAAACATGAACCCCAGATACAGCATTAAGGGCCAATCATTATGCAGTCACTGACTTTATAACAAGAGAAGTAGCAAGGAAATACTAGATTTCTCAAGGGCAGCTATGGTTATTCTGTAAAGCTAGTGTGATCAAGTTATGCAAACAAGGCACAGTTGGCCTCATCACCCTTTATGGCTCCAAACTCCCCTAAGGATACGAAAGCTTTGCCCATAAATGATCCCTAGGAGGCTGTAAAGTAGTGGTTCTCAACCTGGGGTACCCAGATGTTTTTGGCCTACAACTTCCAGAAATCTCAGCCAGTTTATCAGCTGTTAGGATTTCTGGTAGTTGTAGGCCAAAAACATCTGGGGACCCCAGGTTGAGAACCACTGCTGTAAAGGATCCTTTTTACCTTGGACCTTATCGCACACAAGAAGCAAAACAGTAGTTCTGTATGCAAACTATAAGAAAACTGTAGTTTATGACTGATGATTGCATATGGGATGCATACAGGAGTCCATTACACTCCTCTTTACTTTTAGAATTAGTGTGTCTTGAGATATCACATTACATGACAGACTGTAAGGATATTAGAACATGTATTCTTTGTTTACATGATTTATTTATCCACTATTCAAAAATTAGAAATCTAGAAAGCAGTAAATAGAGAAAGTTGATAAAAATCCCAGGAAGAAGCAAAGGAATAAAAAGCTTTCTTTTTTTTTCTTTTTTTGAAGAATACAGACAGTTCCCAAGTTACAAGCTTCTTCCAGTCATCTTATAAAGTGCTGCAATTTTAGCTAGCTTCATGTGTACAAATACAAAATAAAAGCCAACTACCACAGCTTGGATTACATTACAATGGATCTATAAAATCTATAATTCCATGAGATAGAGTCACATCAATTATATTGGTTCAAATTGTATGGCGTGGAGGTGTACCTAAGCTCATTTTTTAATTCAGTAACTGAAATGAATGGGATTTTTATAGTGGTCATGGTTGAGCTATAATTGTACAGTTTATATTTCTGGAATCAGAAACTAAAATGAATGTAATTTTAAAAGTGTTCATAGTTTGGCTAGCTTGTGCTTAGGACATCTGTCCATACCATTAAACTAATTGTAAGAAGCGTTATACATCTATAAAAAGGAAGAAGAGCTCAAAGTCAAGTTATGTTGAATAGTAATACCACATAATCATCATCAGATGTGAATATATAGGTTTCATTGACAATGTTTTTCATTGTTCCAATACATTGTAAATTATGCATCTTTCTTCTGTTGCGCTCCAGTGGAATATGCACTTGGGAATGAAGTGAAGGAAACACATATTATTTCATCAGCTAGTCTCTTGAAAAGCTCTCTAAATTAGTGTGATGGAAATGTTTAAACTGAACACTACTGAAATATCTCCTCTCCCAAAGAAGTTGCCAGAGCTGAACGCCAAACATCTAGGCAGGTAGCAATCAACAATCATCTAGCTGTATTGCTCCTGTGATGTGCCATGTGTGTGATGGGGATGGGAATGAACAGAAACTCTTTTATTCAATTTGTCTCTCCAGCATCTGAAAGCACAACTGTATCTCGCAATCATCATATTACAGGTAGTTCAGGGAGTAAACCAAGGCCTTTTGAGAATACTGAAGGCTGCCCCAAGAGAAAAGGAAGGTGATGGTAATGCTGAAATGATTGTAGAACTGGCTGTAATGTCTCCCCATGCACTCTTTAGCTCTGCTTATATTATTTCTCCATTACTGGCTAAATTTCCTTAGGGATTTGGAGGGAAAGGAGCAAGGATAACTAGATTCTGAAGGAGACACTTTGCAGATGAAATCACTCGATTCTGCTCTGACCTGGATGATATACAGGTCCAGTGGATGTAACCTTGACTCCAGATTGCCCTGTGTTATTGGATACCTTTCAGTGTGTGCAGCCTAAGGATGTGGGCAGGGTCTCTGGAGAGTAGAGAGTTGTATATTGGATCCTTGCCTTTCCTGGCTCATTAAAGCAACCAGAGAGACTGTCCAAGTGGATAAAGGGAGAGGGAATACTGAGCTGCAGCAAGACAGGTTACTGTACTGTAAGTCTTTGTGGGAACAAAACAAAACAAAAACTCCCTGAACCCTGTCATATTAGACAGTTACCAACCAATGTTCAATATCTCTTTTTGAGGAAAGGTTCTGTTAGTATGTCATGGTCTGAATCCTTACCAAACAGGTATTTTTATCCATAAAGCCCAGCAATAACATTCTGGTGACATTGCAAAATCTACCCTCTAATTCTTTTAGATTAATGTGTAAGTATTACAACAATAACTTCTAACCTTCTTACAAGTCTACCGCATATGAAAGAAGGATTGCTCCTTATCTTGACATCCCTAGCATTGATTTAAAACAACCTTGGGCATTTTCAGCCATGTATTTAGGGTTAGATAGCAGCTATACATCACTTTATACAATTTTTTTTTAGTTACTGTACATAATAAATTTTATTTCTTTGGTCTGCATTTTTCCTATATATCCAGTTGAACATAAAGCCTAAAATGTGTATTATTTTACCATTTTACAAAGTTCATATACTGTCTTTAATTTCAAAAATCTTATGTGTACACTTTTTTCATCATCTTTAGACTATTCTAAACAAAACCCATTCTCACTAAACTCTAGGGCTCGATCTCTCTTGTCTTGATTAAATCTCCCCTTGAGGTGCATACAAACAAATCAAGATCTTTACTTTTCTCAAGAAGTATCGTTCTTGCTTTAAACTCCCAGCTGTTTGGTTCAAAATGCAAAAGATCATCTTAAAACAACCACGTCTAATTTTAAGCCACTCTTTCCTGGGAAAGGTGGCGAATCTTACCTGAGGAAAAAGTCTCTGCTTGTATTGATACTACAGACATTTCTTTTGTCTAGGAAAATCAGAATTGTGATACATTACTGCTAGGGACCAGTGCATGTCTGGTGATCTTTATTTGATTTACAGGGTTACTAGTTGTGTAGGCCTGAACTAAAGTCATTGATTTGTCATTTGTCATCCAAAATGGTCTGTCATCTATCTCCCCATAGCTTTGTTTCAAACCTTATAAATACTTGTCATTTTCATTGAACTGTTGCTAAATCCTGCTTCCAAAATATGAAACCTCAAAATTATCATGTCTGTTTCCTTCCAGAACCCAGTTCCCACTATGTCATCTCTTTGAAAGCTTTCAACAATGCTGGGGAGGGTGTCCCTCTTTACGAAAGTGCCACCACCAGATCTCTGACAGGTGAGTAGAAATGGCTGACTGAATATCCCCTTTTGCCATTGTCTCTACCAGAACAATGCATGTGCCTGGAATGAAATGAATGGGTGCCTTAAGTGAGCAGATCTCTTACATTGATTTATGCTATGCACTGGATTCAGCATGATAAACATTGAAAGTTTGGGGACCATACAAGGAGTGTGTGACTCAAAAATGTATGTACGTGTAAAATGTTCCCACTGGGGATAAGGACTGCATCTGCAAGGGATGTCATACGGTGTGAAAGTGAGTGAGATTATAGCCCTGGTATAGCCAAGATTCCTTCATTAGTGTAGTCTGATCAGCACAGAATAAAGCTGCATATGGTCTTGTGCCAACAGCTTTTGAGCTTTGTAAAGTCCTTCTATAGATAGATTACTAATGTGGTAAGTGATCCTTCCTTTGCACCTTCCCGGGGATATAGGATGGGATAAAAATTAAGTCGTTGTTGTTGTTGTTATTTGAAACACAACAAGATGAGTCCACAGCAGACAAGATCACTCTGCTGGCTGTTGTATTGAATCACATGTTGGACACTTCCCAAGTGTCCAGGATTGTGTGATGTATCAGCAAATAAAGCGTGCAGATCCCAGTAAGGTGGGCTTCTGCAGCTGGCAGATGGTAATTTTGTCAGTGCCGATTGTGTTTAAGTGCAGGCCAAGGTCTTTAGGCACTGTACCCAGTGTGCCAATCACCACTGGGACTACTTTTACTGGCTTGTGCCAGAGTCTTTGCAGTTCGATCTTTAAATCCTCATATCATGTCAGATTTTCCAGTTGTTTCTCTTCAATCCTGCTGTCACCTGGGATGGCAATACTGACAATCCATGAGTATTATTCCCATCTTGTGATGGCCTGGTCTGGCACTGCATTGGAATGAGTGCATGTCCATTCACCTGTCCAACTGGCTGCTTCAACAATTGACTAGAAATACCAGAATAGACATCTGAAGGGAAAAGATACTCTGTGTACAGGAATAGTCCCATGAGCAGAACTTATAACCTCTCTAGAAGCCATAATCTTTAATTTTCTATATCTGGCAAGCTGACAGATAATGTTTGTCATGTCAGCTGTTTGTAGAAAGCAAGAGAAAGGGGCTTCTGGCTGATATCTAGGCAGCCTACCTAAAGAATAATGTTTCTATAACCCCTTTTATGTTTCCCTGTTTGGAATAGAGGCAGGCAACTTTTTCTCCAGATGTTATTGGACTAAAAAGAATTCCCTTACTTCTGCATTTGTTGGCTAGGGTTGAAGGAGTCACAATTGGTGCAGAAGAACTCATGCAGTTATACTTAAGACTATGTTCCAAGATTTAAAAAAGATGAAGGATGGAAATTCCCAGAACATAAAATTCTATGATAACTTTGTTGTGTTCTCTTCCATGATCCCAAGAGTAGTCTTTGTTAACAGCTGTATTCTATGCAAAGTCATACAAAGGAGAAACTAGATAATGGTGGGGCTCATTACTCAGTGGTAGAACAACCGTTTTGCATGCAGATGGTCCCAGATTTATTCATTGCCATTGCAAGTTAGGAAAAATTATTGTTCGATACATGATGAATAGTATAGAGATGGAAAAATTTAAAATATATTTAAATGTGTTTTTCAAATGCCAGGATCCTAATAGAAGGATGACACTCTCATATGTTGTTGGACACTCCACATACACTAATAATTACATCATGAAACATTGAACTATACTCCATGGATATTTTGGAAAGGCAATGATAACAAATCCTGATAAAAATGACTTAATATTAAAATATGTAAAACACTAAGACCTTTCTTTAAAATGAAGGACAAATGACACAGCAAAATGAAATGATTATACTCTTTAGCAAATGCAATATATTATTTTTCAACTTGTAGCTTTAAACTCCATGCACTCTTATAACAATGCTCTCTACTCCAGCCGTTTTACTTGACAGATGCCAGATCCAGGCATAATTTGAATCTCTAAAGACCAGATTAGAATTCATGTTAGAATGCTAACACCATCATTCCCAAGGGGGGCAGGTCATAATTCACTCTATAATTTGTAATATTTAGTAAGTTGGAATTAATAAACTCTAGCCAGGAAAAGTCAGGGATGTAGACAAGGGTCAGGCTTTCATTCTGAGATGGTGCATTAGTATTAATTTAAGGCACTGCAAGTTTCACTCAGCTGAGAATGGCAGGCAGTAAGTTTTACTGCCTTTCTCACACATCATCTTTCTTCCATGCACAGTGCTTATAAGTTGTTTAATAAAACTTCAGTTCCAATATTGGGTAACACTGCTATGGCTGGCATCCTGTCGGAACAGAAGTTCTCTCACATTTGTATGTTTTTGGCCATGGCATAACTTCTGTTTTCAGTTCATGGTTGCATAAGGAGCACTTTACAAATATGGCTTTTGTACATAAAGTGCTTCAGAGACCACTTGATTCATGGGAAATACTGAATTTGTAGGCACTCTGACAGATATGGTAATAGTTCCACGATACTGGTATTCAGCCAAAGGATAACATTATCAGTACTTCACCACAGAAGTATAGATTTGTATTGTGCAAATATGGTGGAAGATTTTTGATATTACATAGTGGAAATTTTAATTCAGGAAGGGCTGACAGTTCAGCAAACAACGACTTTGTTTATAGAACACATTAGTCAGGTTTACTTCATGGCAGAGGTGAGATATGAGAATTCAAGATAAATTATGCCAACATGAGTAAATGCTACTGCGTTGTAAGAGTCAGTAGCCCAACGTATTAAAACAGGGACAATATACTCTGTTCATAATTGTAATTGGCTCTCCTCTAGAAGGCCACATTCATAGAAAGAGATCTCAATAATTGGGTTGCTATAAGTCAAACTCAACTTGCTAATGGAAAACAACAATGCATGAGCATGATGTTCTGAACCAGAGCTTGTAAAAGTTACTCTTTTGGCTAAAAGCAACTTTCAGACTCTCATTAGAACATGAAAGATATTGCTAGAAAAAATATGAATGAATGCAGGTTGCTTGGGACCAGATGTATTTTGCATTTTGAAATACCTGTATTTGCATATTCATACAAAATGAGTTTTCTTAGGGATAAGGCCCATGCCTAACCATAAAATCGATTAATGTTTCATGTATACTTTATAAATTAATCTTGAAGGCAATTTTATACAACATTTTTAATAATTTTGTGTATGAAACAAAATTTGTGTTCAGAAATAATCAGAAAACCAATGTATCAGCAACAGTTTTTGGAGTATTGCTGATTTTGGAATTCCAGATAAATGATGCTCAACCTCTGTTAGATTTTATCCTGTGAAATTCAGTGTCAAGGTGAAATTGTAACAAAAATGAAGTATTAAAATCAAGTTTTGAAGAACTAGTGAAATGTAGTGGCTAAATAAACCGGGAGCCCCTATTAAACATAACTTCTACCATAAATTCTTAATAGTGATCTTAAGCATGTGTTTGTTCTCCTTGCAACAATTGGATAATCCTGGACTATTTTTCCAGGGAGAAAACAAGGAAGTTTTCAATGATGTATAAAAAGTCCACTGAACACTTAAACATGCTATATGGATTTCAAATATTCTAATATATTTTCCTCTAGAGTGGCATGTATGATTTGGTGGTAGTTCTCTCTTCTTTCCTCCTGGCTAACCTTCTCTGTTCACAAACTTTGTCATGGAAAGAAAGTTAGGTCATTGAGAGCAAACAAAAAAAGGAGAGAAACAGAAAAAGAATGGCCATATGATGGAACAATATGGTTAGTTCATGAGGGGAAAAATGAACCAAATTACAGCATGTTTGCTTCAGATGGGAAACCATTCTTTGTTTGTATATTTAGTGAAGTATTCCCATTTAAAAAATCTTGGAAAACTATAGGAAAGAAAGAAAGAAAGAAAGAAAGAAAGAAGGAAGGAAGGAAGGAAGGAAGGAAGGAAGGAAGGAAGGAAGGAAGGAAGGAAGGAAGGAAATGCTGTTTTTCCCTCACTAAAAATTCAACTAAAGACAAAATGTTTCTTACTTAAATATCTTAAAGCATCAGGGTATTTTCCTCTAAATGTTATTTTTCTCGTGCTCTGGTAATTGAAAAGGGGACCAGTTCCTATTTTATGCATGTCTTTTGAAACCTTTTTGACAGGCATGGTGGTCTCAAAAATATGTGAAGTTTTTATTATTATTTTTAAAACATATTGTGAATCAGGCTATAGCAACAGCTGCATGCCTGACCAGCAGACTGATAACACATGGCCTACCATAAATGAAATGTTCTTTGCACTTCAAAACATCATCTTTTAACTCGTGATTTTTCCCGCTTCTAAGAAATGGCTTTTCAGGGCGCCAAAGTTTTTTCTTTGGATCTTGCTTTTCATTACCAAGAGCCATTTTAACAGGCAGCACCTTTGTAAGCTTTTTAGGAGCAGACTGTGAAGAAAATCATTGGTTTTGGGTCAGTCCTGGGCAAAGAGGCTCCCCATCAAGCAAGCAGTGTTAATTCATCTTCCCAGGAAGATTTTCCTCTTTATTTGGTGGCTGCTTTGTACGGAGCTCAAAACACAATCCAGATTTTACAAATTGGATCTCTCTATCCACAAAGACTCATAGGAAGCTTCACAATCAATATCCCCTTGAGGCAATAAATCTGAATCGAGTGTATCATGGTGGACACCAAAGCTTTGAAGCCTGCCCTTTCCTACCATTATGCCAAGGGAGGTGGGCAACTCATCCAAGAGATTTGGATAGCATCAAGTTGTTGAATTTTTGTTATTATTGCAGTTTACTGCCAAGAAGAAGGAGAGATCCTTTTGAGCTTTTCTCTCTCCTGAAGACAACTTCTGTAGGTCTGATGGTCATGTAGAAGTGTAGGGTGTTGCCTGTTATCTGATAAGCAACATCTGCTGAAATTCTCTCTTCTGCATAACCATTAAATATACAGTTACAAACTCCACTTTTGTACCAATGAGATACACAGACCTTGATGTTCGTGAACATGGGACATTAT